ACACTTCAGGGGTTGCAGCCTGCTTGATAGCACTGTCTTACCCTGCACCACCAGGGAGGCCCAGACCGAAGGGTTTTTATGAAATCAGTATGAAATTATTTGCCTTTTTCAGCTGATTGGTTACCTAGTTGCCTTCTTTGTTTCTTTGGATCAGGTGAACTTTATTAAGTGAACAAAAGTTCAGAAATGATATGACCAGACCTGGCTTTGGCAGACTAGCACCATGGTGTCTTGGGCTGATTTCTGAGAGGAGTCGCAACACCTGCAAGGTTAGCTTAGGGTTCTTTTGGGCACCAGTATTGACCATCTCTATTTTGTCCTTGATTTAAGTAGTTCCCTTTTTCTGCATCTACAGGATAAAGACCCAGAGAAATAGAGTTAAACATTTGTTTACGGAATTGAACAGGGCAGTAAATTATGATAACACGGTAAAAAGAAGGAGCTTGCGCTAGGGGAGTTACTGGTGACAAAAATAAGTAAAATAATTAATTTAACCTGCTTTGTTGGCAGAGATTTTTCTTGGCCTCAACTAGTTTCTTGACAGGAACACTGCTCTCTTACTGCTGTAGGGAGGCGTCTCCAGGTTTATCTCCTGCTTTTAGGAGAAACGGGGAAGTCAAAGTACTCATCTTCTGTCTGTTGTTTTCCAGCTCCTTTTGCCCAAAATAATTCTTCCGCCACAATTGGCACATTTGGAGGTAGCACGCTTTGCTGCCCTTCAGCATTACCTCGTGTTCACAGCACGGTCCTGAGGCCGTCGGCACAGCTCCTGCATGCCGTTCCACCTCTCCCCTGCTCGTTCATTGGAGAAACTTGGGTTCGTGTTTGGTTGGTTTGTTTTTTTTAATCTAATCTGTAAGGCTTAGTGGCAGTCCTTTTCTAAAGAATTGTGAGCACTAAATGAAATGAGGCAAATAAAGTGATCCACTTAGAAAGGGCGCAGTAAATAGTAACTAAAAGACATCTACAAAATTGTTTGCTACTTTACTCTTCTCCTCGTCATGTTTTGAAACCTTTGTTTAGAGGTAACCCCAGTCAGGGTAAACTGACTTTAAGAACCACCATACAGGGATAAAAAAGTCTTGGTGTACATTGCAGGCCGTTTGATAGGAATTTTCCCGCAGCCAGAGTTGTCGGGGTTACGCACCCGCTGTGGAGCCTGGCTGTTGCCTTCTGGCAGGCCCGCGTGCAGATGCTGTTATATTAATTACAGAAGAAAACCTGATTAACTAGAAAGTCCTTTAACTGTCACTGAGGCAGCTGCTCCAGCACCGGAACAGGTTTTCGTCCTCCCTCCTACCGACAGTCTGCAGCTTTTAATCTCTTCCTTGGAGAGCTGTGAAAACTGCACTGTGGGCGCTCAGGAGCCCCTGGCTAGTTCAGTCAGCCTTTTCATCTGCAGGTAGCATACCGAGGGAAAGCTTGCATAATTAAATCCACACATAATTTAAGAACAACCAGACCAACTGTCTACCCCCCCCCCCGCCTCAATTATTTTTCTTTCAGTTGAAAACCTGGAATTTTAGAACTAGAAAGGCTGTTGAAGGTCAGGTGAAATCCATGGCTGAGAAAGTCCCATGACGCTGTCAGGGTCACAGAGGTAGCTGCTGCCGAGGCCTGGGGTCAGAATACAGGCCTTGGTGCAGTTCGCCAGCCTTTCTGCCCTTGCTTTGTGTGCTGAGAGAAGCGAGGAGTGAAGCTGTCTAGTTTCGACTTCATTTCTCTCTGGCTTTTGTATAAATCTTCCCGAGATAGGTGAAAAAAACTAAAGAGTAGTGCAGAATGAAGGATTGGATACTGGTGTATAAAATGGGCAATCATATATCCATAGCGAAGACCTTTCTTCAGTCTTAAAAAACCAAACTCATCTGAAAATTAGAAGATCTGGTTGACTTCACTCAAGGAATTAGGAGTCTGGCAACATCCCATTCAGCAAATTGGAAGACACGGGAGTTATACAAAATGAAAGTTTTTGTAGTTAGAGAGAGGGAAGAGGTTACTGACAAAGGAAAAATTATCTTAGACAAAACCCTGTGTTTTATTATGCATACTACTTCACTGTTGCTGCCCAGGAATTCCAGATGAGTTGGCGTGAAAGACCACTTTGGGAGAGAGGGAAGCTTAGTCAGCTCAGGTCTCAATAGGGCCTGGTATAAAGGGCTCCATCCGGTTTCCTGTAACAAGTCCGATAGGTGGCCAATAGATGGCAGGTGGGACCCTGCGGGGTGTGTGGGTGCTCAACCTCAGCCTTTCCCTCCCTTCCCCATTGTTATAAGACCTCCTCCCCCACCAAAAGAATTCACTAGAGAGCACTAGGTTTAGCTGAACCACACAAGGCCTCGTTAGAGAGACTGGTGCGCGAGGAGACACCAGTGTGGGAGAGGATTGTTGAGCCTGCGCAGCACAGGAGCTGGGAGCAGGTTTGAAGGGCGGGTCTGCAGGGCGGAGGGAGAAGAGCTGTGTCTTGGCTTGTCCTCGTTGGCTACACACGAGTCACCGTCACCAGCTGTGCATGTGGCTCTGGGTCTTCTTCTGGGAACCTGAGTTAACAGTAGTCAGGATCTGCCGCTGTGCCTGTCGCGGCTCCTGGGGCAGTGCGGTGGCCACGCTGTTTGGACAGGCCACAGGGCATACCTGTCCGTGAGATCATCACCTGTTCCAACAGAGCCTGGGACAGCTCACCCCGCTGGCCGCAGTTTCTGCCACCGAGGCTGCCTGCCCAGTGCACTGGCCTATGCTTGTTTGGACACTAGTCAGTTTATTTGTAGTGACTGTTGGTGTGGAGATCAGATGGGGGTGGTGATGATGTGCATCAGATTAATATTGGGGCGTGTCTGCTGTGGTTTTGACTGACGGCAGCATGTGTACTGGCTTTCCTGTAGTCCACACTTCGGCCAGGAGGCATTGAGAGCTTTCCGTCTGTCACTCGTGATGGGCTCAGCTCTGCATCGGCTCTCCTAGCAGCAGCAGTGACAGGGTTGGTTCTTTATTGCTATCATTTTGCTATCATTATGTAAGGACTTTTGCAATAGGCGTTGTGAAGGGTCTGTGTGAACCTACACTGGACCCTGTCTGGGAAAGATAACGGTGTGGAGTGAAGCCCGGCTTGCTGGGCTTCCGGTCACTCAGGTTGCAACTGGGGCAGGTGGATTCTGCAGTGAGCGAGGAGGGCCTGTTCTCGTCCCCTGGGACCACACTCCATGCTGAGATAAGGGAGTTTTTAGGAATATAAGTTACTCCTGAACTGTTTAGTTCTAGACTCTTGTACTTAGTGGAACCACTTACAACTTTTGCTAGACAATTCTCCATAATAAGTGGATTGTTATATAGAACAGGTGTGTGACTGTCCAGGAATTGAGGATGCAGAGAAAAATGTGGTGGATCTTCCTGCTTTTGATAACTATAAAAAGATGATTAGAATAGACCGTGCTGATGTTTATGTCATGAACCAGATACGAAGGTCTCAAGAGGAGCCAGCAGTGTTTACCAAGTGGTCGCACAAGCATGGGCTCTGGCCCGTGGTCTGGTTGTGCTTATTCGTCAGCACCTTGCACACAATCAGACATTTGGTGAGCACTTTGCTTTTCCAAAGGAATTCATCGCTTTTCCAGAGACCTGCTCTCTGTACCACTGTGCAGTGTTGGGATGATGTGGGGTGTTGTGATGCTGTGTGTGTAGGCCAGGCATTGTACCTGCAGGCTGATGGGAAAGGAAGGGCTATTGAAATGCAGAGGGTCTTGTGAAAGCAGATTCCTTTACATCCTTTGCTGTTGCTGTTTGTAGAAGAAAAGGAGACTTGAGGATTTGAAATAGGTTTTTTAGCAGGATAGCTTCTGTCTGAAGTAGAACAGTCTCTAGTAATCAGGCCTCTTGCTTTGGTTGTACTAACAAGTAAACAATTTATGAAGCTCATGGTTAGCGACTGAAGCCAGTACTGTTCCAGTTGGTGCCATCCTGAATTTCAATTTGGATGTATATATTTGGCCCGGAAACCAGCCTTCTTGTAGCCTAAGGCGCGTGTGTCCATGGTGGCCACCTGAATCACAGACATGGCGAGCTCTGGTGCCCAGTGGTGGGGGTGAGCAGCTTCTGAATCTGAACCGGCAACTAATTTCTGGTTCCTTCTCCCAGAGTTCTCATCATTTAGGAAGCTTTTTATTCTCTCATAAATCTGTTCATGAGCAGTGGTTATCTGCAAAGAGAATGAGATAGATCTTTTGAGATAGATCTTTTTGAGATAATCACATCTCCTCCTGGATTTTATCCTAAAAGCAGTTCTTTTCCCATGTCTTACTCAGGGTCTTGTCATCCATAAATTGAGGAAATGTTCATAGTAATTGAACAGCTAGTGTTTTAAGAAAACAGATGACTTGGCTGCTGGAATGCCATCACCAGTTGTCAGAGAGATTAACTGGAATAGGTTCTAGACCTTATTATGTAATTTACTTCAATATATGTGCACTTAAAGGTTAGCTCATCATTTAGTTGTGGACTGTTATAAATGAGAAAAATGACAAGGTAAAAATGTGTGTGTTAGGGCATGTAAAAGGGCCCTGTATACCCAAGTTATATGTCTCCTATCGCAAGGTATATTCTATGCCTTTGTGTGTTGAGCGTCCTTTCTCCTTGGAGTCACGCCCCAGTTAGCATCGATTCTTCTGCCTTTGTCAGTGTGACGATGCCGTGTTTGGGAGTGAGTCCTTGTACACTCCTTATGCTCACGCTCCTGGTGAGAAAGGCTGGGGAGGACAGCCCAGATCACTGCCACCCAGCAAGGGTAGAAACCACTGCTGGGATGAGCCAGGGAGAGGAATTCTGTTTGACCGTTGAGGAACTTTTTCTGATTGGAATATTTTCCTAATAATTCTGTCAACCAATAGCTCTAGAAATTTTCCCTCTGGGACCCGATAGCCTACTGAGGTCTCTGTGTGAGTCTCTCTGCACCCTCTCACTCTTCTCCCTGTACTCCCCTCTCCTCCACCCTCCCTGCCCCCACCTAGGCCTGCTGAGCTGCATCTCCTTCCCACCTAAAGAAGAGAAGTACCTCCAGCAGATGGCTGACTGCCTCCCCTGCATCGTAATCCTCGGCCAGGACTGTAATGTCAAGTGCCAGATGTTGAACCTGCTCTTGGGGGTGCAGGTGCTTCCTACCAACAAGCTGGCCACTGAGGAGAGCTGTAAGCTCCGCCGCCTCCGCTTCACCTATGGGACTCAGACTCGTGTCAGCCTGGCGCTCCCTGGCCAGTATGAACTAGTGCACACGTTGGTGGCTCACCAGGGCAACTGGGAGACCATTCCTGAGGAGGACCTGGAGGTCCAGGAGGACAGTGAGGATGCCGCCCATGTTTTAGCCGAACTGGAGGTGACGATGCACCATGCTCTCTTACAGGTACCGCTCTCCTGTTCATTCAGCAGTTGCACGCCCGTGCCATTTTTCCTTGTATTTGCGCTTTCTCAGAAAGTGATTTGGCAACATATGCTCTGGGCTCTGAGCATCATCAGCTGGTGGAGTCAGGAATATATTGGAGGGTGCTGAAAAAACAGACGAGCATGTAGCAGTGCCGCAGAACCCGGTGGGGAGTCTGCCTTTTGTCTCTTTCTAAGCACGACATGTGATACTTGCATAGCGACATGCTTGCACAGAATAATTGTGGGCAGAGTTAGAAATCCTTTTTCATTTCTCAGCAGGATGGCAGTGCTAGAGATGTCTCTAGCCACCCCTTCCTAAAAGAAATAGTATGATGATGGATCCTTAATTTCCTTACTAGAATTGAGAACAAGGATTTTGTGGTGTTTTTCTAAGACCTAGCTAGCCATTAGCTATTAAGTGGGACAGATCATGTCTCCACTTTCTAAGGAACTTGGAATGTGAGGAATGATCTGACTTGATGTAAAGAGACGTGGAGATCCTGCCACCTTCGCTTCTCTTTCAAAGTACATTCCTGAAGAGAGTGTAGGACTTGTGGCGTGTCCAGAGGGGGCATTGTAGTCTGCCATGTTCATATCTCCCTTAGGCCCTAAACTCTTGTCCTAGACTTCCTTTCCTGCTGTGTAGCTGGGGCTGGGCACTTGGGTTAGCCCAGGGCTGTGACTGTGTCAGGGGTCAGGAATGGGCAGGAATAAAAGGACACCGAGTGGCTCAGAACAGAGACCCCGTCCCGTCACTAGCTGTGCCAGGCGTGAATTTGGCGAGAGTGGGGGCTGGCGGTGGCTGCCCTCTCTTCACTGCTGCACTTGCCCCAGTCCTTCTGTAAGGCTCCATCTCCCAGGCCCTGATTCCGCCTTTGGCTGCGGCCATGGCCTGTTTCACTCTCGTGGTGGAAACTATTGTTTCCTTCCCAAACCCACATTTGTTTCATCTTGATGAATGCTGGAGGGTGCCATTTGTGCAAGCCAATATTCCTCTCAGCTGAGTTTCAGCTGTCCTCTCTGTTCTGAGCGAGAGCTTGTGCTCTTCTCCTCCGGGGTGATGGGAGAGTTCTTGGATATTCTGGCGCAGCTCTCACAGGCATTCTTGGTTACTGACTGCAGCTGCCTGGTCGACTCACGGCTTCGCCACTTACAGGTGTTCGCCCCACACGGTGCGCAGTGCTCTGGGCTTGCCCCTGCCCACGCCAGTCGTCGTCGCTGGTGGTTTTCGCGTACCTTACATCAGGACCACCCATGGGGATACATGGACATTTAAAATAAATAAAAGGTCCATGAAATAGTAATTTTACATCTTGTAAAACGCGGTGCTATCCTCTATTCTGTTTGACTTCATGTTCTTAAAAATAATGGTGGCAACTCACTAAATTGATTCCTAGTACTTTGTGACTTACAGCTTAAAAAACATTGGAGCAGCTGAAATGACCGCTGTGAGCTGGGTGGTGATTTTTTCTTGTTCTTGCATTTCAGAAACAGTCTTGGCATATGAACCAAGCCCTCTGTAGAAGAGACAGATGACTGGATTGATATTTCTCTGTGACCTTTCTTTTGATCAGTTTTAATTTCTAATGCGTATTTACTTTTGTTCCATGTACTGAGATAAGAGAGAGTTGGGATAGAAGCCATCCCAGGTGCTCTCTGAGCCTGGGTCTTCCTGGTGGGCTCCCAGAGCCTGCCCCACATGAGCTGTGCACTCCACCTCTCAGGTAACAGTCAAGAAGGTTCTTGGCTGGTGAGCTGAGATGCCACATCACCTTTCTCGGACCAGTGAAACCTATATATTCTCTTTTTGGAAGGAGATTCTCTTCTCTTGAGATCTCTAGTCTTGTATTGTTTCATGTGGTTTGTAAGACTTCCTTTGTCAGTATTTCTCCAGATCTGCTTTATTCTCCAATGGTTTTGATGTAGAAATAGCAACAAGCCCCAACGGCTGTAAATGGACAGTCCTTGATGCCGGGCCTCCGAGGGGCCTTCGCCATCCTGTGGTGCCCGGCTCAGCCCCGCCAGCTGGGCGCCTGGCCCAGTTAAATGCATCATTGATGCCCAGCGCTGTGCTGGGCGCACTTCACAGCTACCTTGAAGCCTTTTCATGTCTGTGAAAATGCTCTTTTTTGTAGCTCCAGTTATATTTAGGGCCAGTGAGTTAACCCTAAACAGCCCCTCCTTTTATTGTAAAGGGAGTGGTAAAGAAAGGAAATATTTAACTAAAGGAAATGAAGATTGAATTAGGGGAAATGAGATGTTCCTTTTCAACTGTCAAATTATCAAAGTGGCAGAATTTCCCCTACTCCCTCATACAATGGTCTTTTCTTTTAACATGTTACTTTAAAGTCCTCATAAATCTGCCATTTTCAGTTCCAAAACAGGCCAAATCACATGGACCACAGTGCTTAGTATTCCTAGCGTTATTAGCTCTGGACCCCCTCAGATTCTCAGTTCATAATTCAACAGTAGAAGAAAACTGTTAAGCTGTTAGTTTCTGAAACCTCACACAGTGTTACAACAGTCATTTTACTGTTGGCCACACAGTGCACTGTCAGCAGTTGCCAGCCACTGCAGCGCAAGTTTGATCCCCAGCCTTAGCCTAAAATGGGGTCCCTGCAGCCAACAGCTGGTGTCCACTGACTGCCAGTCATGCACCCTTGACTGTTCTGCCCTTATCAGTAGCTTGCTTATCCCCACTGGGGGCTCTCTGGCTCCTTGGACGAATGTGCCAGTCGCCTGGCAGCGACGGCCTTGCACTGACACAGCTATTGGCTCATGGTCTGGAGGGTATATTTCAGGAATTAAAATAAACTGTTTTAAAACCATTTTTATCCCTAACCATTTGGAGTAACAATGCTTTTTTTCTTTATAATTCAATATCTATCAATGAAAGTAATGAGTTTTTATTGATATATGGCCAATGATTTTTTTGAAAAAGACTTATTTATTTAGGCATACAAGAACTGGAGTACAGGCCAGAGGTGCAGGGGGTGGAGGTGAGAGGATTCACCAGAGATGTAGTGGGAAACAGAACGGGCAGATCGACAAAGTACACTGCTGAGGGGAGCAGCGGGTGGGTCAGGAGAGGTCTGCTGCGCTATGTGGGCCAGCTCCGTGGCCGGGGATTGAACTCCTGTTGCAGATCACTTCATAGTGCTGTACTTTAACCTGTTGTACCACCAGTGAAGGCCTGACAATGATATTTTTATCTTCTCAGTAGAGAGATACTGTCACAAACCAAAATCATAAAAGCTCTTACTTCAGATGACAGAGGCTTTTGTAAAGTTGTAACCCTCAAGTTGACTTAAACAATTTTTGCTTAATTACTGGCATTTACTCTGCCATATAAAATACTTAATTTTCTATGCTTTACTTTAGTTAGATATTCTGTCTTCTTTTGGAAGTGACTAGGTTGAAAGATTGCTAGAAAGTAGGAAAGAATACAGGGTCCTCATGACAAGAAGAAAACTTTGGGAGAAGAGAGTATAAGGCAGTAGGCCCAAAATGGCCATTCCAGGGAATAAGAAACAAAGTTGGGGCAATATCTATAAAACAGAAAAATAAAGAATTATTCTAGAAACCTAATTAAAATAAAGCATGATTTTGTGAAGCAAAAAGGACAGAGAACTAAAGTGATACTACCTAACTGTGTTAAAGGATATGGGAAATTCAGGCAATAAATAAATTATAAATTCTTTTAGGCAGTAACCCTGTATTCTTTGATTTTGACATCTCTCACCCTAACACACACTGCAATATGTTGCTAAATGTCACTGTCCTTCATATATTGCTGTTTGCCAAGAAACCTGGGAATACCTATTATAGATTAATTTACCTTTTAAGGATATGTGTGGTTTAGGGGCAAGATTTTTAAAATCCCTATAGCTCACTACAGTAGTCTTGATTTCTCTCCTTTATTTTTAAAGACTTACATATTTATGCATAGAGTACTGGGTGCAGGCCAGAGGTGCAGGGGCAGTGGGAGGCTTCACCAGAGAAAGAGTGGGGAGCAGAACAGGCAGATGGATGAAGTACACCACTGAGGGGAGCAGTGGGCGGGTCAGGAGAGGTCTGCCGCGCCATGTGGGTCACCGCCTGGGCTGGGGATCAAACTTGCACTGAAGCGGCAGCACCGTGCTTTGCAGTGCTTCAACCCATTGTGCTACCACGGAGGGCCCAGCCTTGATATCCCTTAAGAACAATTTGCCCTGAGCCTGTTTTCTCAATTCACCACCAGTGATTCATTTTTGACCTTCCAAAGTTAGATTTTGGGGAGGAAATCTGGCAGGGATTACGGCCATCATCTTCATAATCTTCCTCTTTTGTCTTCTCCCTTTTCTAAGGTCTTCCTCTTTTTCTGCCCTTTTCTTACTATCTCAAAGATCCTTTACAGTGGAGGATGATAAGGTCTCCCTGCTGGCCCAAATGATTAAAGCACAGTACTATGAAGCTATCCACAGCCACTGTAGCACGTTTGAACCCCGGCCAGGGTGCTGCCCCACGTGGCATGGCAGACCTCTCCTGACCCGCCTGCTGCTCCCCTCAGCAGCGCATTTCAGTCAGTACACCTGTTCTGCTCCCCACTCTGTCTCTGGTGAAGCCTCTGGCCTGTACCCCCATAAAAAAGTACAGTGGAGGATGATGGGAGTAAGGAAAAGCCCCGGATTCAGAGGCTCGAGGTCGCAAGCACTTTCAGAAGGCAGAAATTCTGTTGTTGGAGCTATTAAAAACATTTTCTTTAGATTTTCTTCTGTGGTATCTCAACCAGGATTGTCTCATAGCAGGTTGTTTATTTTGTAGCCAGCCTTCTGATACAGATTGTGGGGTCCCCTGAAGAATCTTGTCCATACTTTATTATCCTTTCAGCATTTCCCTGACACCAGCCCAGTTCCTGACATGTGGAGTTTTGGTCATTGTTTAAACATGGTCTTATGGAGGGCCTCTCTGATGGCCAGGGGTGTTGAGTGCTGTCACTGC